AGGAAGGAAGGAAGGAAGGAAGGAAGGAAGGAAGGAAGGAAGGAAGGAAGGACTTTTTGTTTTGGCTTTGTACGATACATGAATGCTATAAGTCTCGATGTTCAGAAATCTCAGCACAGAACAATTGTGACTGAGCATCAGTTAAAATGGGGAAAACTGTAGATGTTTCTTTTCTCCCATTAGTTAATGCAACCCTTCAAAAGGGATGGAGAAAAGAGATGTTTGAGTTAGTTTTGTACCTTGTAACATATGGTGGATAAAAAACTTTAGATGTGACATATTCCCATAAAAGGGAAAGAAACTGGGGAACATAAAAGCAAAGGTTTCTCTGCAGATAACCCAGATAAAGTGAGGTGCAGGCTAACTGGCTGCTATCATCTTTTAGTGATCCTAATATGGAAAAATGAGCAAGAGAATCCTCTTAATTATTTGTGACCTAAACTTCTGGAAGTATCAGAGCCAAAGTCATAGTCTGATCGTAGTTCACTTGTGAGTCGTGCCATGGTAGAGGCAGTGGCACAGCTTGCAAAAGCAATTTAAAAGGAACATTCTCTTTAAATGACTTTTAGAAAACCCATAAACCTGAACCAGTTCGCGAACTGGGAGGGGATCATCCGGTTCATGGTTTGTGTGACCTTATGAACCACGAACCGGGACAAGCCTCCATTTCCCCGGTTCGTGCCCATCCCTTCTTGGAGGAAATGTTGAGTGTGAACTACTCTTTAGTGTCTAGAAATGTTAACGGTGACCCAGTTAATCTGGAAAAACCATTACCACATTGATGAAGCATACATGTAAAATGCCTAACATTTGCTACACCACACTTTAAATATATGTGTATCTATCATTTGTCATTTACCTACATATATTTGTGTGTGTGTGTGTATGTATATACACACACAGAAATTGAACATATTTTTAATATCTTGCAGCTTGATGGATTCAGACCATATTTTCGTGTGTGGGGGGAAATATACATTGCAACAGGGATTACAACAGGGTGCTGTGTCTTTGTTTCTAGAAACACGTGTTAAAGAGAAGGATGATGAAGGCATTTCAGATTCTGTACATCCTGTCAGCTATAGTAGAACCGGTGATCTTTGTGAGGAAATAGAAGATGAAGAGACTCTGCCTTACATAGAACACTTTGATAAGGAAGTTCAAGATGAGATGATTGTCCTTGACAACTTGCTGCTGGAACAGGTCAGAATGAAGAACCAAGAGAATGCATCTCCAGAGCCTCCACTTTGAATGCAATACTCATATTGTCTAAAATATTCAAGTACAGGAGCACCTTAAATACAGACAGAAATTTCCAGGGTACGAGTTTTCATGGTTCAAAGTTCACTTCATCAGACTAGTGAGCGTTGACTCACGAAAGCTTATATCCTGAATTTTTTTGTCAGTCTTTAAGGTGTTACTGGACTCACATTTTGTTCTACTAGTACAGACTAACATTACCTACTCATCTGAAATTGTCTAGAATGTACATGCTGTTGTAATATTTTTCTCCTCTTTTCTGCCTGCATTAGCAACCTTTGATTATGATACAAAAGCAACACAAAGGTGATTTCCTTGGCATGACTTGAATTCATTCATCAGTTTCTCTCATCAGGTTGAAGTTCTATGTTATTTTATGAACTTTTAACTATTCCACTGCCTCTCCCTTCTTCTGTACCGTGGGATTAGTAGTGAGTGGTTAAGGGAATGTTTTGATTGGCATTATCATTTTGTTAATACTGTGATCATTAGATCACAGGCATTGACCTGATGACTGAGAATCAAGCTACCTTGTCTCCTGCTTTAGAACTGGAAGTGTAATGGGCATATTATGGTTCCTAGGTTGTGAAATGGAAAGCCCCGTGTTAATACAAGTATGTTGGAGGCACCTACAGCAGGCCTCTCCCTGCAGCATAACACCTTCATCTAGACACTAGAATGGTCAAATAGTCTCATTCCACTTTCTCCATTTGCCTCCCACCTGCTCAAACCAAGACTCTTTGAAGAATGACCTTACCTACCTTCATAGTGACCTTACCTAACCTCATGGGAAAGCCATGATAAGTCACCCTTTGGAGGTCCATTAATATTTGCTTATTTGTACTACAGGTGGCTCAAGTGGTTAAGACACTGAACTGCAGGCTATGGAAGGTCGGTAGTTCAGTAGTTCGAGACCCGGGTGCCGCATGACGGAGTGAGCTCCCGCCTCTAGTTCCAGCTCCTGCCAACCTAGCAGTTCGAAAGCAAGAAATTGCAAGTAGATAAATAGGTACCACTTCAGTGGGAAGGTAACAGCGTTCCGTGCGCCTTGGTGTTTAGTCATGCCGGCCACATGACCACGGAAACGTCTTTGGACAGCGCTGGCTCTTCGGCTTTGAAACGGAGATGAGCACCGCAACCCTAGAGTCGGATTCGACTGGCTTTCGAGCAAGGGAACCTTTACCTTTACCTTTACCTTACTACAGGTGGCTTCTGTGGATGATTTTCCTCTTAATCATACTTCTGTTTACAGAACCTGGAATACACTATATGGTAAAAACCCAACACTAGCAATACTATTAATGATACTTTATAAGAAAGAATAAGGGGAAATGGAGGGTAATGGAACGTTTTTTGGGGGGGGGGCAAAGCTGAAAGAGATTCAAAATTATATCGAGTCTTTCAGTCAGAGCTACAAGTCAGAGAGAAACTACTTACCCTAAATTATCTTCACGATTACAGACTTTAATCTGTATTAGTCCTTGATTGGGAAGTGATAAAACAAAGATAAATGCTCTTTCACCTACTTATATTAACTTCTGGTACATCATCATATTATTATTGACTGCATTTTCCATTTCCGGTGAGGGGAGAAGTTCCAGGGGATACGTTATCCACTTTTAGATTCCCTTGGGCGAGTGAACAGTGGGAACACATGACATCTTTGTAATATTTGCTATGTTTAACAATACAGAAGTAGAACATAAATAGAGGCAAAGGGGCACATGTAGCAGATCCGTTACCCCACTATGATATAGCAGGTTCACTTCCTCAGATGAGGTTCCTGACGAGATCAAGTCTTTTCATCTCAGGAAGCTTCCTCTTCAGCTGAGTCACATCTCTCTTTTGCTGCCTCTCTTTTTCACTTCTTTCCAAATTGCCAAACTGGTGTTTCTTCACACAGACCCACTCATCCATCACCCTTCCCCCCCTCTTCATATGGGGACAGGTCATGTCGCATCAGGGCTGGTTCCAGATTTTGTAGGGCCCCTGGGCAGAGAGTTCCCAGGGGCCCCCTTCCCATCCACTCACCCTCACGTCTCACTACCTACCTGTGTATCCCTCCCTCTCTGGTTCACAAGCCCTCACACTAGACAGTGTGTGCAGCTGGACACGTGGGTTCCGAAGCATTCACAACTGAACGGGCAAGGAAAGGGCCAGCAGTAGTGGACCCTGCCAGAAGCCCTGGACCTTGGCAGTGGCCACACCTGAGGGTATACAGATGCTGGCCCTGACTCACACTAATTCTCCACCTCTTTGGTGAAGTGTTTAAGAGCCAGTTTGGTATAGTGGTTAAGTGTGCAGACTCTAATCTGGGAGAACCGGGTTTGATTCCCCACTCCTCCACTTGCACCTGGCTGGATGACCTTGGGCAAGCCGTAGTTCTGATAAGAGCTGTTCTTGAAAAAGAGCAGTTTCTGTCAGAGCTCTCTCAGCCCCACCTACCTCACAGGGTGTCTGTTGTGGGGAGGGG